TGTGTGTCCACGTGCAGGCACTGCTCCAGAGGCTGGGTGTCGCCAGTTGTCCGAAGGCTCCACCAGCCCGGAGCTGCCTCTGCAGCTCACTGCTGGCGGCAGATCTGAACGAGAACCTGTCCACCAAGCTGTTTTCCTACAAGAATAACAAAAGAAGGAACACATGCAATCGGCACAGAATTGGTATGGGAGGCAGTAGACGGAGCTGTTGAGGCTTTCTTGCAGAGCACGGAGCATCAATGGTGTAACGCGCCCGTTTCAGCGGCAGCTCCTGGCTCGGACACAGCGGGTAGGTGTAACTACCAACATGCTCCATGGGGAGTATTTGCTGCTTCATCTCTGGGATTTGGAACATCTGTCCCCGCTTCCCAGTCTGCCCGAGATGGGGGTGGGTATGTTTGCTTTTTCTACCCCAGCTCTGGGGTCAGCTGAGCAGTGAGCAGACGCAGGTTATCACCGTCAATCGGGTGACCGTGGTTTGGTGGAACCTCTGGGCAGACATCTGCTGATAAACCAGACCCAAGGAAGGGCAGGCCCAAAGGAGCTGGCAATAAAGCTCAGGCTCTGAGGTCCTGTTCTGAATGGAGACAATCCCCCTTCCAAAAGGGATTTGGATGGGCCACAGCAGAGGGAGAGGGAAGGGTGAGATAGCTGGAGCCCGTTAGGAGAGGAACAGCGTTCTCCACTTGTCAAGTGTCTGAGAGACAGTTCCCAGCTGAGTCCTGCTTGGAAATTTGCGATCTAATTAAAGCAGGCCTTGGATCTCATCGTTCTTCCTGCACGCCTGGGACAATGAAATACTGACTCGTGCATCTGTTCTGTATGTGTATTTGATGCAAATAAGGAAGAAGTCTGTAAATACATCAAAAACCATACTTTATTTTATGTATAGCAATACAATTTACATATTAAATAACACTATAATAGAATGATTTGATATAGTTTAACATAACAAAAAGAAGGTTCTTCAAGTTACAAAAAACCCCCAAACAAAACCCAAAACAAAACAAACAAAAAAATCTCCCTCAAAATACTCCCTCCCACCCTCTTCCCAAACCAAACACCACATTTTTTTTTTTTCTTAATGGATCAATGAGACAAACGTATCCAGTGACTGGCTAAGTCTAATTCCTATTGCACACACTGACAATGGAATAATAATAAAAAAAAAATTCCAACTTTCACAATCACTGCCCCAAAGAAATGACATGTGTGGAAATCTTTTTTTGGAGTGTGATGATGGTGTCTCACTACCTCGATACACAGAAGGTATGTATTCACATAGCCACCACAGAACTAGGAAGGAGGTGAAACTAGAAAAAAATTAGCTTTATATGAAAATATAAAATTCTATGATTATATACCATAGATACAAAGTTCCCAGAAGATGCTTATCCAAGCAACAAAATATTTACAGTTTTAATGACTTTGCTATTTTAAAAATGAAGGAAAAGAAAAGAAGAGTACACATGAATGCTTCGGTCTTTAGAAACAATGGCTGCTTGCTAGTTTCAAATGTTCTAACAAAACAAAAAGAGTCACTACCCCAAATGTTGGAGAGTTGTGACATTGTATAAAATTGACTATCTCCTCTTTTGGAGACGTTTATTCTTAAAACTCAAGACATTTTTCTTGAAATTAATTATCCTCTGTAGAAAATGCTTCCCTTTGCAAATAGTTAACAAAAACACTAAAAACAGTTTAACAGCTAAGACAAAGCAGAGGCCAAATCTCTTCATTACAGTTCCTTCTCTTTTTTTATTTTTGCATTCCTTCTCCTGTGATAAGTAAAGCCAATGTAGTTCACATTGTTAGAATGGCAACAAAGAGAAGAAGAGCAAAGGGGTAACAGTAAGAGTTGAATTACATCTGCGAAAAAAAAAAAGAAAAAGAAGAAAAGCAATGCAGTGGATTAACAAATAGGCATTTTCCCTTCATATAAAATTTCACTGGCACCATTTGAACATAAACTTCAGAACACAAGATCTGATGTCAGAAGACATGAATTTGAGAAAGACTGCTAGATCTTTAAGACAACTACATTTTCTTTTTTTTTTTTTTAATTCAGTTGGTTTTGTTTTGCTGAGAATTAGTAGTATGCATCTTTGGTAGAATCGATATTTATATTTTTTAGCTTTTAAATAAAATATATCAGCTTAAAAAAAAAGATTAATAAGAAGGCAGTTGTGCTGTGTCATAAAGATTCTTCTCCTAATGTTCCAATATATCACTCTGGGTTCAAGCAATTCAAGCAGTCAGCAACTGGAAAAACAACTGAAATTTTGCAGATCCTGTCAATGGTCGCACTAACCTAGAACAGACCCACAGCACAGAAGCAGTCACACACAAGAAGTAGTTTAAGGGTTTGGGATTTTTCCTTTTCCTGTTCCTAAATTTATATTTGGAAACAGACACTGTGAAATACTACGGACAAATGCTGTTTAAAACGAATGTTCTGTAGACCTTGGTCCTGCAGAATGGGTGCTCAGCCTGCACGCCCGCGCAGTCCTGCTGCCTCTCCCCGACCTTCCTACCGATGCCAAGCTGATGTACAGGAGTGTTTGCAGGATGGGACATTCAGCTGAGACTGTCACCCGCTTTAGATGTTAGGATGACACAGCAGCTGTCCAAGCATTCCCTCTCGGAAAGCTTGGCTGCTCTTATGCGCTCAGCGCACAGAAGTCTTTTATGTCTCTCACATGGCCTGCGGGCGCAGTACACGTGCAAGACATGAAGAAATAATAAGATTTTCTAAATGTAGACACACACATGCATGTGTACTTCAGTCCTTTATTTCCTTATTTCTCAGGGCTCGTGCTGAGGACCACACTTTATAGCGATGGCATCTACTGGGGTTCTCTTAATTTGCAGGTCTGCACACTGCCTGGGAACTTCTGATGCCTGAAAGACATCCTGACCAAATGCCAAAAGTGGTTACAGCAGGGAGTGGGGAATTGGTTGATGCGGTAGAAGCAAGGTTGCGATGCTGAGAGTGGGACTTTGGCCAGAGAGACACATGAGAGCATCTCAGCAGAGCTCTACAAGTGCATGTCTCTGAACACACCCTCGGTCCTTCTGCCAGACCCGCTCAGTCCCAGGGCAAGAGGTGCAAAGCCCTGTAAGAGCAGAACTGCAGCTGCTTACAGTGGGATAGATTTGGCTCTTACGCGCTCTTAATCCTGACCTTCACAAGCAATTCCTGGCTTCGTCCACTCCCACCCTAATGCATCGTTACCAGATATGGCTTCTCTGACTGTCAGCACAGCACTTAACACACATCTTGAGCCCCCTTAAGAAAAAAAAAAAAAAACACAAAACAAAACAAACCCTAAGAACTTGCACAATAACAGTGTAAATTATTTCCCCATGGATTAAACCCTAAGCAACTATTTCAGATGGGGGAAAATGCCAGTGCAAATGCATGGATTTCCAAAGCATCTTCCAAAGTTCAACCCCCACAGCCTTCTTTCACTGATTTTTAAAAACTCGTGAGAAGGTAAGGGATTAAACCGAGGATATTCAGGCAGTGTGTCATGAACCACAGTTATCTTCCATCATGCCAGTGAAATGAAAAGTAATCAGCTGAAAGTACTGAACAAATCCAACCCTCTTGATGCCGGCAGTAATCTTTGTGTCACTTAGCTCTCGTCACGGTTTGAATTCTTAACTTCTCCCTACACCTCCCCAGGAACTTAAATACTTCAGATTGAACTGATCCAACTCATCAGAGTCCCTTTGTGCTACCAGCTGGAATTGCCTGGGGCCAGGATCACCACTGAGGGTGCGAGGCGGAGCTCCCCAGCCTCTACCGCTGCTGCACAGTGGCCAGCAGACCACACAGTAAAACCTCCCAGCCCTGGCAGGCAGGAGGACTTGAAAACTTACTTAAACAATTCTCGTTACTTGGGTGTAGTGACTGGAGAACCAGTCTGAGCTCCTACCAGACATTAGCTGACTCCCTCCTCAGTGCTGGGTTGTCCCAGTGCAAAGGGGATGCAAACTACAAAGCCATCTTTTGAAATATGTAGTATATTTTTTATTTGGACTAGCTGGTGCTGGACATGGGATTTCTTTGTTGAAACCATGGATATACTGTTCGGCATCAGCAGTTATTTGGATCACTTGGACGGAGGGATTCAACAAACTGAGAAGGTAAGTCTGCAAAAAAGGTTGCTGATGAATTCCTAAATATTTTGGTGTTGGAATTAATCAAGTGTATCCATACTAGGAAATCTTTCCTTTATTAAAAACAGAAGGCCAGATGTCAGCACACACCAGTTTGCATAGCTCCTCTGCTCAGTGAGGCCGGATCAGCTTCTTACCTCGTGAGGTTCTGAACCAAAGCACCTACTCTCAATACCATTTTAAGCAGTTCACTTTCAACTTCCCAGCGTCTGAAAATACACAGAATCTTCCTCGTAGCTAAGCTTCCTCCCTGCCCTCCCCTCCAACAACAGAAGTGGGTTTTGCCTTGCCAAATGTCTCTATTTCAGCAAGACGGGACTGGCAGAAATTAATAGGTCTACATATAAATGAAAAAAATATGCTGTAACATTTTGACAAGTCCTAAAAAATTACAACGCATGTTTTGTGCAGTTGAAATTTAAAGGGAAAGAAATAAATGCCATATGTAAGGGATAGTGCCTTTAACTGTATACCAAACATCAGGATGGTTGAAACGAGATATTACCTTTTCAAGGTAGATTCAATAACCCCTCCCTACTCATCTGAGCTATGAAGGACATGATTAGATTTAATTTTCAGGAGAATTAAGTACGTACTTACTTCCTTGCTTAAATAGGGATGGACCTTGTTGAATTGGGACCAAATACAAAGGAAAAGGGAGCCAGTGAGGATGTATACTTAAATGCTCCAAACCATAATTCAATTATTTATATACTCTGGGGGAAACCATTGTATTGGTGTATGAGGGAAAACACAATAAGCTAGGTTTCTGCTAAAGAATTAGTCTGGCAAAAAAAAGAGGGAGAATGTAACTTTATAGGTAGTTTTTTTTATTAGTTTGCTTCACCAGTAAATATGGATCAGTACTTTATGTTTTAGCACTAAAGTATGAAAATTACACACCTGTAAAAATGGCATCTAACAGTTATGAAATTAAGAAACGCCTGTCATCATGTAACATACCATTAGGTGTGAGGTCATGTTCAAGAAATAGTAATGAAATTAATGTGTTTAAAATATTGAATAGCTTAGTAATGTAAAATATTGCTACCTTCAATATATCTGAAAACAAGTCTGATTTTGGGCTGTGGTAGATTTCTCACTGTATTGGCTCTGATGAGAATAAAACCAAAATACTTTCCCATAGAGGGCTTGTTAAAAATGCAAATTGACATTTTTCTGAATAAATGGGGAAATTTTGAAATTGTAAATTCAAAACCTATCACTGCGTCCGACATATGAATTGCATCTAATTTATAATTATATTGTATGTAATTTATATATTCCATGTGAAGCAAGTCTTAGGCCCGTAAGTGTACAAAACAGCAATTTGAAACAATACAGAAATAATTGTTTCAGCTCCACAAGGCTATTACACCTTCACTGTAGCTAATAATCACCTGCCACGTTTTGTCAAGAAAGGGATGAACACTGCTCATCCACTCCACTGGAATGCAGAATACCGTTACCAAAACTGTGACGTGATCAATAAAACAATAAATATGGTATGAAGGGGTACAGGATCTGTCGTAGAAAGAATCCATCTGGCCTAGCATTCAAGATTTAAGATTCGAGGGTCACTGTAGTTAGCAAAAACTTCATTGCATTTAAACAAAACAGAAAAAGCGTATGTTCGTTCTCATGGAATGTCACATCAGGGCTTGTCTTGTATTAGGATATTATAGGCAGTAACACTGATCATATAGTGCAAACTAGATAAAATTGCGTTTCACTGTGTGAAATAAACAGAGGTGCAAATGCTCAGTAGGATACCATTAAGACATAAAATGGCAAAAAATAAATATCAAAACTTTTATCAGTGTAAAAAAGTAATTGGGTTATTGTATAACCTAGAGTCTGGCAAAAAAGGCCTCAAAAAAGTTCACTCAGTCTTCAGAAGTTCTACAAATTAAGTGCCTTTTCAGGTTTCCAATTAGACAAGAGACTCCATGCTTTCTGCCGGATCAGATTCGTCACTGGCCATCACAGCACCGTTTTTGTCCAGTGTCATGGGACCGTTTCCATTTTCCTTAGTGCTGACCAAGCTTAGCATTGCCTTATAAAGAAACTGGTACTGTTCCTGGAAAAGAAAAGACACGTTATTTCAATCCTTGCAGTGTACATAAGCGAGTGGCCCTTACATTTGGCATTTCCAGGGAAGGTCATGGATATTCATTACTAGAAGCACACACATAGCAAAGAAAAAGTGTTAGAGAGCAACTGCCTCTGTTAGTCTAGTTTAACCTTGTCCACCCAGTTCTGGGTAGATTATATTATTCCTGATACATGATTAACATTACAGGAGGGCAGGACGATGCTGGAGCCCACAGCTCAGCCCCAGTTTGCTCCCTCAGACAGGCAGAGCCCCGCACACTGAGACCAGGGTGCTGCTCTCGCTGCACACCCAGGGAAGAGCAGAGCCCCTCTGCTGAAGCTCTGTCTCCCCGCAGCTCTGCCTGCCCTGCTGCATCCCTTCAGATCACAACACACCAGGTTTAAACAGCAGAGTTTAACTTGCAGGGGGATGATGTCAAGCTGAAAGGTCCTTCTCTGCTAGGGCTGCCTGTACAGCGGCCCCCTCACAGTGTGAGAAATGGGCTTAACTGCGGATCGGAGACTTGCAGTGTGGCTTTGAGGTTTATAAAATTGATAAATACACAAAAAAATGAAAATTCTGCTTGGCAGCAGATGTAGTAGGGCTTGATAACATAGAAAACGTGTGTTTTAGTTCACGCTTTTGGTCTCAGGTGAAAACCTTGTAAACTATCCATTTATATTCCATTTAAAGACTTACAATGTCTGTAAATACTCCAGGTCGCATGAGATTTATCATCTTTGCCACCTGGAAAACATCGACAGCATTTTCATTCTCCAGCTGCTGGGACAGAGTGGTAAGGGCACATAGCGTTCCCGCTGACACAGCTCCATACCTGAAAAACCACACCGAAATGAGGAGTTACTCGGAAACATACTGGGCACTGACAGAGCCATGAAAATGTTGGTATGGTCTTATTTGATTACTGCAGTTCATCTTTGTATCTACTAAATGCTTGTTTTGTACTGGCTGGTTTTTAGTCATTTTAATTTATAGAAGAAATGTGATGGTACAGCAGTCATCTCAGGATATTGGCAATATTCAATATAAAGAACTGTATCAGCAGAAGAATGTGAGCCATTTAAGAACACCCAGCCTGGAGATTATAACACTGAAATCAGTTCTCACATGCCGCGTGTACTGAAAGCATCCGCATTATAGCTGAGCGTATTTTAAATTCATTAGTGGGAGCTCAAGCAAAACATAAACGATTAGAACGAAATGAGACTTCGCCTCTTCCTCCACATCTGACAATTATAGAAAACTAACACGGATATGAGGTGCTCACAAGCAAATGGGGCACATCTCAAAGTCTTCCTGAGGTCTGATTCATCAGCGAAAGGCAACATCCCCGAGCTGGGCACCCAAGAGACATTACGGATTCTGAAGAGTTGAGCTGTGCTGTCGTTTAGTAGGAACCCAAGTAACGGTTATTCGTCAGGAGCATGACTCAATGCGTCCTTGAGATGCTGGTCAGGTAGAAATCGTACTGCTGCTAAACCTGTGGGTATGCTTGAATCATGTGTGCAGCTGTGGGGCATGGCATAAAGGACCCCGAGCAACAGGGGCTTGGAACTGCTTCTGAGGAGCCTCAGCTGTCCTCTGCTTCCCAGGACTCAGGAGAGTGATATTCTTCCCTGGCTGTGCTACGGGTCTGCTCTGTGACTTTGAGAAAATCTGTGTCTAAATGTCCCCACCTGTAAAAGGGGACATTGGTGCTGACTTGCTCTGTAAACCATTTGGAGAGCTGTACATGAAAACTTAAACAATCAGCAAGTGCTGCAATACCATCTGGTATCATAAGATTAACAGTAGGATTTTTTTACAGCATTCCTGTGGAAATCAAGACATATGCTGACTTAATTTCATATGATTTTTGCAAACTCAATTTGCCTAGAAATGGGAAACAGAAATCGAATCACAATAGATCTGCTATTTTTGATGAAAAGTCTATAGAAGAAACAGAACCATGCAGATGGCGGGGACTGATAACCTACAGGACTCGTGGACAATGTGGCCCATGCTTCTGCCTGATGGGACACAACTAAATGCCTCTGAGGGTCTAATGGCCTCATTTTTACTTGGGCTGATAACCTCCAGCTCCCAGCAATCTGAAGGCTTTTCTTGCAAAAATTATGCAGCAAATCTTTATCTAGTTGCCTACATATGGGCAGTTATATTTAAAAATCTTGACAACTGTCTCAAGTTGGAATTTCTGAACTTCTTTGAATGTCGTTACCAAGTTAATCCCACCACGTACTTCCTAAATACCACATGCATTTAGGATCTGCAAATTCATATATTTGGAATTAATCTTCAGTTGTAATTATTAGTGAATTATGTGATATAGTTGTTGCATGTAGTAAAGGGAAATTTTCATCTTCAGCTACATTTGCTTAGGCTCCAGTGAAAAGCAGAATCCACATTATGTATTAGGCAGAAAAATAAAATCATTGAATATGACAAACCAAAAAAAAGCAATTTACAGAAAGAATGACTCAGCACTGTTAGAAATGTGATCAATAATGGTTCTAATTTTGTAAAACATAATCTTAAATACTGCAAGAGTAGCAAAACCTCACTTCAGACTACCCAAAGCATGAATATTAAAACTAGCCTGGAATTAATCAGTGCTGGCAAAAGGCAACAGAGCTTACACTGCGCATTAACAAGGCAGGAGACGGTGGGAGAAAAACTACTTGCTGCAGCCCAAGGCACCATTTGCAGGAGTCAGTTGGGAAAAACCTGTTGCGGCAGCCACGCATGGATGTGAAGTGAAACCTCCTTCAGTAACGGCAGACACCAGCGTGCTACCGCACACCAGCACAAAGGCTCATCTGACCCCTGAAACTCCCGAGTACGGTAATAACATTTTTGCACAAAAGGTGAAGATTTCCAACACCTTCCCACTAACTCAGTTTTGTAGCAATGATAAAAGGTCTGATGGACTCGAGCGCAGGGGGCTGCAGTCGTTTATGCTGGCTTGGTGCTCACTCTAAGGGCAGCTCAAGAAGTGGCAGAATTTGGGCTCTCTTGGGATTTTAACGGCAGAATGACTCCGGGAACTGCTCTGTCCACCACGAAATATTCCCTCCAAAGAGATCCTGTTAGACCCATGCTCCAGCTTCACTGTAATGGTATTTTGCAGCTCCATAATGTGTGTGAAGCAATAACCCACCATGCAGTATCTGGCACCCTTTATAACTGGGCATTCAAGCATAGCTGGCAAGACAATGCTCCCCACTGCTCTCCAGAAGAGACAAGCGTTGGGGCACGCTGGCCCTGTGCTAGCAGGCTCCCCACCTCCCACTTGGCACCATACGGGCCCCTTGGAGTGTTTTTGGGGAAGCAGGAGGAGGAGATACTAATCTGTTCTCAGAAAACCTGGGCCCTTTGTCACAAGACACTTCTGCTGCTCACCCTGAGACACGGCTGAGCCGAGCTTGTCCTGTCTTACACGGCACATTAAACCTGAGCTCCCAGACAGGAGCTCAGCCCTGTTTTGAAACTGGTTTCCATAATCCCATACTGGGCTGCTCAGAACCTTAGCTAAACCAGGGCTCTGCTGGGCTCTGAAACAGGTTGTAGGATTTGTTTGGGATAATTCAAGGTGCAGAAGAACCCAAAATAATCACAAAGCAAACACAGCTTAACTTTCCAACTCCATGTAAGACTACAACCAACATAAAAACAACACAAAGCAAAATGTCTCAGGTGCCAACTGAAACCTTGTCCCTGGAAGTTCTGATCCTGTTCCCTAGACCACTAAACCCCATCTGCTTCCATGCAAGAATGGATATCAATCCTAATGTGTGTCCTGTAGCTGAGTAACTCCTTGTACAACCTGCACACAAATGGGAGAAAAGACGACATACTCATCATGAACTATGGTGGGGCCATCCCTTGTTAAGGCCTCTTCCTTGATTACATTGATAAGTTCAAAGGTACTGCTTATGGGAGCATCTGGGTTTGGCCATTTAGGACACTGAAAGTGGCGGACTTCCAGAACGTAGTCATCCTGCAATGAAAAACCAGCCTGGGCATTAGCTACTTGAGTTTCACATTTATCCACTCCAGGTAGTAAGAGGGAAGAGCCTCACAACAAGCTGAAGAGATACCCTCTTCTTCCAAAGAGTTTATACAGAAGGAAGAAGACAGGCACACAACTCTAGCATCTCTGTAACACTGAATGCGCTAAAATAATGCAACTTTAACAAAATGTTTAACTGATAGATTTTGTATTTGAGTTCAGGGCTTATATCCATATAAATCTTCTCTCAGAGCCCTTACAGCTCAAAAATCAAACAAGAGAAGAAACAAGGAATTCAAATTAAAAGAGCTTGCAAACTAATGTTTTGCAGCAAAATCTAGCTGCAAGCCAGATAGCAAAACAGAGGCAGGTTTATAGCTCAAAAGAAATGTGCTTAAGCAAAACCCCTTAATTAAGTCCCCCAAACAATTAAACTATAAATGCTGAATTCTATAAGCAGAAATAGGACAATAAACCTTGGTGTACTTTACAAAGAATAATTCAATCTACTTGTGTGATTTCAAAATGAAAAACCAATGTCTTCACTTTCAAATAAGACAAACAATTAATATTATGGTCTCTCTAGCCAGAGGATTCTACCTGGAAGTAGAAGATGTGAGAGAAGGAGGCAACGAGAATACCCTTCCCCTGTGAGCAACATGCATGCACATGCATTTACAAGTAAATCCTTTTCAAAACTGTTTCTGAACTCTTCTTCTTCTTCCATATTAAAATGACATCAACCACATTTTGGGGAAAAGCCAAGACCCACATTTGGAGGTTTATTTACCTGGGTAGCTTCAAGGATAAAGTCATGGATGATAATTTGCTCTTCGTTAGAGAGGCACAGTCTGTCTTTGCTGATAAGGGTCACAGTAAAGGCCTCACAGTTCATGGATTCCTCGCGACTTGGCCAGTACACAAACTCATCTTCTGCCTGGAGGAATGAAACAACACACTACTGCAGCCTTTCAGATACCTTGTGTGTGACTGAAAAATCCAATGGATCAAAAAATTGGTTTGATAAATACAGATGATCAGGAGCTGACCTTTAAAAACCATTTCTTTCTAAAACAAATTTACTATCGCAGCAGGCAGTAAGCCTGCCAGATCCTTCCCCTGTGTGTCCAAACAGGTAATGTCTGCTTTTTAATTGGTTTCATAGGGAAATGGTTATCTTAGCTCCCTCATACTTAACCTTTGTATTGCATCCTAGGCTTTATTACCTCCTGCCTACAGTTTTGCATGAAAGTCGGATATCTGTTCAGAAAAAAACTCATTGACCTTTTAAAATTAATTACTTATTATTTTTAATTTGTGTTTATTGTGGTCTAATTCAAAACTCCAGGTCTGTGAATCAGGTCTAGGTAGAAGACTGATGGATACTTATATAGGGCTTGAATTTTTAGGAGCCAGGGGAGGAGTGAGGGGGAAGGAAGAAATCCAAATACTCTTAGCCTTGAAAAAAACACTGGCTTAACCTAATGCACTTTCTCCAGCAAAACCTCTCCACTGAAGGGACACTATAAAATCTCATTGAGACTATGAATGGTGGAAGCAGCTCAGTGCTGAAGTAGCCTAACCGACAGGTTGTAGGAAACATACTGTCAAAGCTATTCTTTAAAAAATAACTGTGCATTCCTAATTCACTGCAGAGAAAGAAAATTAGCCTCCGTTTCCACATGCATGCAAAGCTTGTTTCTCCTCCTGGCTTCAGGGGTCTACTGTCCCTGGAGTGTAAGCACAGAAGCTACCCTGGCAGCATGCACGGCACTGCACGCCTGCACCTCCAAACAACCCGTGTTTTACTAGTGAGAAAACAAGAGCTATGAACCCACTCATCCTGCTGTGGCCATGAGCATGTCTCTAAACTCGGATTTTTTTTCTGTGGGCCTGGAGCCTTCATGCACATGATGTGCAAGACACTCTTGAGATTTGGGCCTTAAGTGTTTATTGTGAAAATGGGATTTAGGGTCCTAAGTCCTCTGAGTGCTTTGAAAATGTTGCCCGCAGTGTGCAGAGACGCCAGCAAGCAGAGTAATATTGCTGAACGCCACGAAGTGACCTGTCCTCCCAAGTGATAGCTCCTCATGCAGCAGTAGCTTGCATGATCATCTCATCCTTTGGCCATTCAGCACCTTGACACAGTCTCAGTCCCGTGCCACCCCTCCTTGCCAGCCAACAACTGAACACTGAGCCAGCGCAGGGATGCTGCTGCACTGCTGGTCAGTCTCCACTCTGGGAATGGTGATGGTGAAAGCAGGGACCAGGCATCCTTGCAAAGGATGGGGCTGAGTCCAGCGTTCCTGCTTTACTGTTTCATCGCTATTGTTCTGCGGAGCTATTTCATGTACTTGTAAAGACAAGATCAGCCTCTTCATTTCCACCTGACACACTTTCATTTCATTAGTGCTTTCTGATTCGATCGGATTTCTCCGAACGCTCTTCGCTTTGCAGTGCCTGCAATCCCTGTCCTCGTGCCACACACAGGAAGCGTATCGACTGCTGCCTCTTTAGTAGCCCCTCATGACTGCTATTTTCCTGCTGTAACGAAGGTGGTTTCTTTTCCACTCTCAGCTACAATCATCTATTCACCTCAGTGATGCGTACATGAAAAAACGAGATGTTTAGTTCTTAATCCTTTTCAACGTGCCCTCTTGAGATGTGCTAGTAAATCTGGAAGTCGTGATTAGCACTCCACCTGTGTCTCCTTCTCTGTCTCATTATTTCCACTTAAATTAACATACATGTTTGCGTTTTACTTTCATCAAAAATAGCATTTGTAAACCTTGCACAGCTGTAGTCTTGCATGGCCTGAGCCTTAAGCCCTCCAGGCAAATAAGCAGGATCCTACTGTCACTGCTTCATATTTCTGCTCCTTTCAAAGTCCTTCCTGTGGCTGTGGCCACCCAGGAACCTCAGTGCTTTACATCCCACCAGGCAGGCAGCCCTCAGGAGCTCCACAGAGGTCACCATCACTGGTGTGCTGCCTATGAGCACTGCGGTCCACCCAGCTGAGGATGCCTTTCCCAGGCATGAGTGCAGAAGGGGAGAGCAAAAAAAACACCCCACTTCTTGGAACTCGTCTTTTTGTAACAAGCTTATGTCAAAGTTTGAGAAGGTGGCTCAAGAATTGGCATGCTTTCAACCAGAAAACAGCCATAGCATGAAACTAAGCGACCCTGCGCCGGTGCCTTGCTGGGCTAAGTGACCGCAGTACCGCGCAGGGAGGGACGTGTTGAACTCACCAGGCTCTGGTTGTCCGGCAGCATGACGATGATCTGTGCATTGTGATCCCAGATCATTCGCCAGAAATCTTTAGTCGTATGTGGCAGCGGATGTTGGGTTATTATGAACTCGTTACTCCTGTAGTAGCCCTTTTGCAACAAAACAAACCACACAGTTACTTACTGCCTTCAACACTTGTAAAACATTAATTTCGTCTTTGGAGACACATAATGACCCTCTTTCATTTTATTCCACAATATTTTCACACAGGCTATAATTTTATAACTCCATTTCCATTTTGCAGAGTCCCTGTTGTTTTTCACTCTACATCCCAGTATTTATTTGACGGTATCTCATGGAAATACACATTAGGTCTAAATGCATCTTGTATTTAATTTTTTTAAGCAACAATCTTTAATAAAACACAGTTAATAGCTTTACATTATGGGGAAGGTGTTAAAATCTCATCTGTTAATACACAGCCATTACATACAGAATTAAGACAATTATAGGCATCTGGTATTTAGCACCTTAGAATTGATTTTACTTTGTAATTAGGTGTTGGCTTCCTCACCATGATATAAGAGGCATTAATGTAATCCGTTCCCTTCATTCCAGGCAGCGGTGCCAAGCCCACTCTAGCACGCTCAGCTGTAAGATACAAAAAAAAAAGATCAAAATCTGGTCATGGCACAATGCAGAGAGTAAGAATTTCTCAGATGTTAACAAACCAAACAGTGTGCAGCTCCCATCTCCCGCAGGAGCAGGCCAGCCCTTTAACTGCGTTAAAGCATTGCCTGCTAACACAGGATATAAAAGAGAATGTTGCACAATATTCCCACAAGGACAAAGTAATTTCAGGAATCAAATTTTACTATAGTAAAGATTTTCACAGCAGGCTGAATTACCAAATAACAGTATATGCAGTGATAACAGGGGATTTCAGGTAATACTTGACTGTAGTGTTCTATTTGTCTCCAGCAGCACACAAACCCAGCTGATTTATTTTGTTTTCCCTACCACTCCGAAGCACTACCATCAGTCCTCCCCGTTGGAGGGTGAGATAACCTCCAGAGACAAAACCCTTCCCTAAGGGGTAAGCGCCCAGAAGCGTGTGTGTGTTCTTCAGCAGATCTACACTTCTCTGTGTTGGAGACATGGGTTCAACAACATCCTCAAACCAACTGACAGGCTTCCGAGCACCAAACCGAAATCACTGCAGCTACGTGACACAAAGTGCAAGGTTGTATTGACTATTTCTGCCTCGTTCACATTTGGTTTTAAGATATATCCTGACAACTTCCCTTTTTATTAACAAACTTCATGAGGGACCGTATCTGTGCCGTTATTACTTTGTGCTAGCTTGGCTATCATCTGTCCTGTATGTCCTGTATGCTGGGTAACATGATGGGAATGACACTGTGCCCGTGCTTGGTCTGGTGCAAATTCACACTGCTTAGCAACCACGCACAGATTCCGTATTAGTGACTGTGAAACTGGGGCCTCGGGCACTAAATACCCTCAAATCTGGGGAAGGCTCACATGCAGAAATTGAGTGGAGCAGTTGAATTACAAACAACTTGTGCCAGTCGTGCTGGGAGATCTCACCTGAGCTGGGAGAGGTATCAAAGCAATTGTCTCACTACTCCATAGATTTATCCTCTATCTAGTTACTGAAATTCTTAAGCACTTCAAATTAACATTTCACTTCGACAGTATATCTGTCTGACACTGTAACTATTTTCTTTTGTTCAGTTTCATCATGATAATTCTGAAAGACAAGACAGCTTGGTCTGAGCAAAAGATTATATTTCTCCTTCCTTGTGGCTATGCCTTTTCATGCATAAATCTGGGAGAGTGCAGTACAAAAAGTTATGCTAGGCAGTAATCAAACCGAAGATGTGATCTTACACGGCACGACTGATGAGTTCCTGTTTTTCTCTTTGTTGCAGTCTTTCTGAGCACTGAAGCATTCCACGTATTTTGCATTACACTGTGTAACCAGCTGGAAGAGAATAAAGTAGTGAGTCAGTCCTCACAGCACCCTTAAATGAAGAGAGGAGGTGTCTTTGCCAGCTCCTGCGAAGATGCATCAGTTCAATAAACTGCATTTGTTAAACTTGTTTAAAGTACTCAAGATGCCAATCGAAAATAATCCTTTTCATACAACATGTTTAATGGATAAGAAGATCTCTGCAGCTCTCAGCTTCGAAACATCCTGAAAATGAAGTTCCATCAAAATGTTATTTTCACAGAACACTACGTTTAGTTATCTTTGAGAACACATTTCTAAGACTTGCAGGTATGTTCAGTCAGAAGCAGGTCTCAAGGAAGAAAAGCTAGCAAAATAAAACAACAACAAAACTTTTATGTTTTCTTCTAAAATAAAAGCCAGATCTTTCCTGCAGAATGACTTTTTCTGCCAGGCCTTTGGGGTACCCGCCATGCCAGGATCTGAGGCCATAGATTACATTCTCTCGTCTGCTAAGTTCATTCTGGGCTGCTCAGGGGCACAAAGAAAAGTCAGGGAGGCAGACTGGTACTTGAATATTCGCCCAGTATATGGGGAAACTCTACCAGAGCAAAGAGAGAGAAGGTGGATTTTTCCTCTCCTGCACTAGCAATTCATTACTCAGCATAATTTTTACTCTAAGATAGTTGAATCTAAACTACTGTACCAGGGCATGAGCTCAGGTTATTTTCTGCCAACTCTGTGGTAGCAGCAGAAAAAAGAGAAAGATTTCATAATTGCTGCTGGTCACGTCCCATTTTCAAATGCACTCTAAACAAGACAGTACTCAACTCATCAGTGTACTGGCATAAGCCCCACTAGAAATTAGGGGGTTTCTAAATACCAATGCAATGTTGGCAGAGAAAGTAATTTCTAAAAAGGTTTTGAAATTTTGACACAAGTCATCAGAAAGCATCTTTATACATATAATTTAGTATTGTTTGGAAAAGTGCAACACTTTTAAAAGTAAGAAACCTCTTTATCCTGCTGCATTTTGTATGCATGTGTGTGTGCATGCTTTCGTTTGTTTCTTTAATTTAGTAATTAAGCATCTGGAATGTCTTGACTGATGGAGAAGTACTGAGATTTCTAAAAGTGAATTCAGAGAAGAGCCTGTTCATTTTTTGAATAGCTTGGCACCTGGTATAATTTAACAGTTTCAGTTCCTTGGGTGGTTATTAACTGATTGAGTGTAGCTGTGAAAACAGGTGTCACGTATAATCTTCTTATGATACATAGTCTCACAAAATATTTTAAAATGCATTTGAATAAAATGCAATCAGAAAAACTTAGGTTTCAAATAGGAGATCTGGGCAAAAAATTTACTTTGCCAGGACGAAAGCCGCTATGACACAGGAGGGGAAAGCAACAAGCATAGTTGTTAGCAATGAGAGAGGCACATTGTGTTTCCTGGTCTTAAAACATTTTTAATTCTTCATCTACAGTGCTGAAATAGTAGGTGGTGCTAAGAACCTCATTTCATGTCTTTCTTCATATATATGCATGAGACCCACAGTTTGGAGGAAGACTTCCAGCCAAGCTAACCACAGACACAGGAACATCCAAGTTCCCTTGGGAACAGGGAGACCAGCAGCACACTCCAAACCAGTGCCCATGTCCCTCTTCTCACCTCTGACTTCAAGAGCATCAGCGCTGATTTCCAGCAGCGTAGCTAAGACTGCTAAGGACTAAACTTCTGAAGATGCTGTGCTAATCAAGCGTTCTGGTTTGGTTCCTTATCTGTGACAACTGACCGTGAAGACAGGCCATACAAAAGAGAGTAGGGAAACGAAGTACCTCTGGATGGCAGTGATAAGCCTTACCTTGAACTGTTTTTCTAGTCGTGTCTTCCCTCCTATGCCAGGTATGAGGATGCTGTTAACATAACTATGCAGCTGGTTTGCAGATACTTCCGTCTCCTTCCCAAGGATGGCTTCCAACAAGGCATCATGAATAAAAATGTACTGCTCCTAGAAAAACAACAGCATGTCACGTAGGTGCTTGGAATAAACTAAACAGCTGGCTTTAACTGAGGGGTAGAGCACACTAAAGGAACGGGTGTGCAAAACAAGCTACCCGTGCAAATACCGCCAAATCCAGAATAAACAAGTGTAACACGTACAGCTCTGAATAAGTCAATAGTAAAATCTGAAGTTTCTGTTCCAGAAAAAGAGACATTCCAGTGCAAAAAAATGCCTGGTGATACACTTGATTTTTAAACAGATGTAACTGAAAAATCCATTTTCTTTTTGATTACAACACAAAAACGAACATGGCTTGAAATTGAACCCCGCTGCAGTCTTTACCTCTGTCTGGACGAGGTAGTTGCGCTGTGTCCTGATATGTTTCAGGAAACCCAGGACATTAACTGTGCTTTTGTCTTTGATCTGTTGCAGCATACTGTCTATCACAATGTAGGTACCAGTTCTGCCAACACCAGCACTACAGAAGACGTAAGAGAAACCCATGTGATACAGCTGGATGAAAGTAAATGTTCACAACAGCAGAACAGAACTAAGCAAATATTCCTGTTTGCAGACTTTCATTTCCCCTCTAGCCCCAACCGTGAAAGTTTCTTAACAAAATATTTTGGGTGTCTGGGAATTTCACCAGGTATATAATTCACCATCTGACACTTGGCTGTCCTGTCTCCACTGCTGTTGCTCCTGGTGTTTGTTGGAAGAGGCCATACAGAGATCCACCCTATGCCAAACTGCTGCTATCCGGGACCACCAAGCTTGCTCCAGGTTGTGGGGCTGCCCTGGTTGTCTTCAGTCTTGAGGTAGGGCTGAAGCTTCACGCTGGAGCTGTAATCCTTCTCTGGAAATGCAGGTGGTGCCAGTGCTACAGAAAGGCATAAGAGGGGGCTAATCCTGTGGAGGCAGGACTCCTTGAAGGGCAGGAGTGTGGTCCTGGGCCCAACAGAGAGGGTGGAGATGGGAACTCTTCAGAGCTTCTCAGGAAGGAGCTCTAACCCCCATCATCCTCTCCTCTTCGCTCTGGTGCTGTACAGCCCCCTCACACCCAGTGATCAAGACCACATCCCTTAACTCATTTAAGGGAAACCCTCTGTAGACTGCAAGTTCTGGTGAATGTGAGTGTGGTTCAGTGGCCATGGCATGCCCAGGTGCCCGTGTATTCCCATGGCTGGTTGGCAGCAGAGGTAATCCTGCCCTGCCCGAGCCCTGAATGGACAGACTACAAACAAGCTTTGAATGAGGAACTGCGTAACCACATCAGTGCAATGCTCAGCAGCCCAGTGTCCTGACACAGGGTTTTGCTGATGCAAATGGGAACCTTTCGCACTGGAGCTATCCTAGGCAAAGCAAGCTCACGTCCACCTGCACTCCGTGGGGCTGGCACACTCCTTCTGTGCCAATACCTTACAGCGTTTGTCTCAGCTGGCATGTAAGGGCACACGCTGTGCAGTAGGTACGCTCACCAATCACACCCACCATACCTGCAGTGCACCACCACTGGTCCCATGTCCGAGGTTCTGGCTGCGGAGGACCTCCTAACGAAGGTGAGCACAGGCAGAGCGTACTCCGGCACACCCATGTCAGGCCACTGCGTGTAGTGATACTGAATAACCGTCCTCTCGTTCTGCCGCCCTTTGGGGTTTCCTTTCTGACCCTGTGCGCAAAGCGAGCATAGAAAGAAAGAAAAACATTAGGGAAGAGAAGCATGGAAAGATACTAAATTTTACTGGCTTGCTCAGCTGAAAAAGCGCTGGACTCTAACAAAAGAAATCTGCAGCAATGCCTCCTGCTAGGTGGAGACAGAGTTCAAGGAAAAATACATGTGGGAACAAGTAATAACAGCAATAACTGTGACACCAAAGCAGAACTTGAGAAAAAGAAATACAGGCTAAACCCTCCACCAGATTCCTTGTCATCCTGGCTCTGCTCACTTATTTCCCATCTACCTGCTACTTCAAGTCGCCTATGCAGCAGATGAGTTTTTCTCCTGCGTGCCTTGCATCCTACACAAGCCAGGAGGCACCTGCGTGAGAACAGTGAAGATTTTACTCACCTTTTTCATCTTTGTGTTCCTGACTGTGAAGCGGCGCACAGTGTAGCAGGCATGAATGTTTGTGCTCTTCAGTGTGACGATGATGTTGCCATACTCCTCGCTGTTCTCTGATGGCCAGTACTGATCGCATTTCCTCTGAACAAAGACAGAGTTGGGTGGGTTCGCTGAGAGTTTGAGTTGCTTCTTTATATTTGTGTTTAGAGCTTTTTAAAAACGTAAAATAATGGCTAGCTCTGTATCCCTCTGTTGTGTTAGTTATATACTATGCACCACTGTATACCATCCCAAACCACTTAAAAACAAATTCTGCCCACGTGATCTGGGGAGGTGGTAAAGAGCAACTGCTAACAAATTAAAAAAAATCTCTTACTCTTCCTTTTTCAACAAGGTTTGTGATCATGACAATGATTCCAGTATTTTGTTCCCAAATCATCCTCCAGAAATCTTCAAAGGTAGACTTTAAAGGTCCCTGGGTAGCAATGTAGGCTTTTGCTTTGTTGTAACCCTTCAAAGAAAACCATAATGCCAAGTGAGATGAAAGCAATATCATGGCAGACGTATTAATATTTTAAAGGTAACAAAGAAAGGTGCCTTTCTCATTCAGAATAGTGAGGAATTTGTAGCAAATTATCAAGTGAAGCTGGAAAACACGACCACTTCACAAGTAGCAACACTTCCTCCTTGTGGAAGGATTCAGAGTTCAAACAAACAACTTACATCGACATAATTAGCATTAATGTAGTCACTGTGCTTAGAATCTTTTCCTGGTAAAGGCCTTAGCTTCACCCTGCTGTGATCATCTGTAGGATAAAAAACAGAGCAGAGAGGCATTAAGGAAACACAGTGCAGAACCGCAGGTAAACATCCCATTTCCTAGGTAATGGAGTAGCCCTTACTAATACATGGAAGAAATTGGCCTTGGATTGGAGTCAAGGGGGAGGTGGGAGTAGCTGCTCTTGGTTGTTTGCTCATTGTAGTAGATCCTCAGGCTCCACATCCCTTAAAGTACATGGCTTGTGCTGGGACAGCTTCTCTTTAAAGGACATTGGAGCCTCAGGAGCACGTTCTCTAGGATCATCCCCATCTCACCATGCAGTGTGATTCAAAGAGCCAGGGCACCCCATGGGGCTGTGTAACACCACGCGGAGACACGGGCTCAGCTCTGGCAGGCAGTACAGCTGCCTTCACTTGGCTCAGTGTCTGAGCTCATCATCCTCCCCTCGGTGCTGAGCCCAGACAGCTCTTCTGGCTCTGGGAGTCCTCACTCCTTCACACCCTCATCACTCCGAAAGGACAGGTCTTCAGTCACACTCTTCAGCAACTTTTTGTTCCACCCAAATGCTTGACTTTGGCTTAAATGGGAAAAAAATTTCAGTCCTTCTCTTGCTCCTAGGCAGCAGCATTGGGCTGGGTGATGCTTCCAACACATGCAGAGATGAGACACATGGACTAACTTTACACACGAAGAACCTGGTTTCAGTTGCCTTCCTAGAGCACCAATGGAGAGAGAAGTTCCTCCAGGGGCAATCTGGAGGACTGGAGTGCCTGCTCCAGTTCTCCTCCAATGGTACATCTCTGTGCCTAGAGGGACCATGCATCTACGTCTAAAATCAGAGCTGGGACAACTGCAATGAATCCCCTTGCCCAAGGCCACACAGCAAGTCTTTTACAGGTCTGGGAATTGGTCCTCAGCTTGATTACTTCTGAGACTCTGTTGCAGACATGCATTTCCTTCCTATGCCACCAAAAACCTTCAAGATTTATTGCAACGTTTATGAACACTGTGAACTTTTTATCAGCAGCTCTCCATCTTTGTTCCTAAACCACAGCGGCTGGCGCATCTGCCGTTAGTTACACATCAGAGAACGATGTGGAAAAAGTTACCGCATTTCCATCGCAGACCTGCAATAATCTGCATTCTAGAGCAGAGTCCGGATTTGCAATTCTCAGAGGAATAAGGCAAAGCCTGCACTGTGCTACAAACATCACTGTTTGTCCGAGTCGTACATGCAGCTGAAGCAGTTTGAAATACAGCAGATACTTTCTGTAAGATTTAGCACCTTTGGGATTATAGGAGAATCCCAGGGATCATCAATAAAAGTCTTTGCTCCACTATGCACTTCCCTTAGGCCAGTTTTCAGACATTAGCGGGCGGAAGAGCTCTGATCATCAATTTATCCATTATTCCTCCACAAAACTTTACACCAAATTGATACTTCTAAAACTACACTTGGACAATCAAACTGCAAAATATTTTAAAACAAAAGCTGGAGCGAAATCCTGGCCTTAAAGAAGTCAAAACACCCACTGCCTTTATCAGGGAAGTGATCTCCCAGCCACACTTCCACATGTTTATTCATTACTGTGCAATAATGCAGCTTGAAGCCACCTGCCTTTCCCAGTCACACCCAGACAACCACGGTGAGAGGAGAGCATCTTTTCGGGTTGATTCACTGCGCTTACTTACAGGCTAGGATGTTGATGTATCTGTTCTTGTGCTTGTTGTCGGGGTGGTTGGAATGCTCTGCAGTGATGTTCATGTCGGCCGTACAGCGCTGCACTTCCTAGGCATAAAAATTATCCAAATGGAAAATGTGTCAGGCCAGAAGAATGAAGCATTATCTCCTTTTGCAACAGCTCATAAAAACCATGTTTAAAATATTGGTATCTTAATTGCTGGATTGAACACAAAGTCCTTCAGTGCTCTCCTGTATGACGTGGTCTGCTCAAACCGAGCCGTGTTCAGTTATGCTCCTCTCCCCAGACTTGGTGACACGCACTTCGGGTACCCTGTGGGCTGACTGTCCCCTCTGGCCAGCAGTCCATTCATCTCCTGGATTGCATTTCCCGTGATGCCCCACTCTGTCCCCCCCTTGGGAAGGCAAGACGAAGTCCCTCAAAGGCGAGAGTGGCCAGTGCAGTGTAAGAATCAGAGCACAAAAAGCATTTCAACAGAAGACTTTTGACCTGTCTGACCTATGGATGACTTATCTGCTTATAACCTCTCGAAACAGGGTTTGTGACATTCAACTTTGGCACTGACCTTTTGTTAGTTCTCGGCAGAGAGATGCCTTTTATAAAATATAAATAAAATTGATCTCTGGTAACAGTGAGTGCTTTAAATATCACTGCTAGGACATGGATTAACAGCCCATGATATAGTGAAAAAGACAAAAGATTGTATCCACCTATGTATGCATTTACAAAACAGAAAGAGGCCAGGCTTGCCAAGGTGTTCATGGAGCTAGCGATGCAGATTTCTGTCTAGTTGAGGCTGTAGGTTAGATACCCAATTCCCACTGATTTTTTTAGTTCTTAACCTACCCCTTACTTACACTGTCCAACAACAGCACCCAGGGCTATTGAAATGGGACAATGGAGGGTCTTTCCTCTGACCTTAGAGAGAAGCAGCTACCCCCCTTGGCCAGACTGTCCTAGAGAGTTACACACTTCAGAGCCTGTCTTGCAAACTGAATCACTAAAACTCATGTACATTACCACCTCCAAGATATATTTTTTGTATCTATTTAACCACAGTCTTCCTGAAAAAGCTAAACTCATTTTTATCACTAGCATAAATATTCTTAGTCTAAAAACACATTTTTGAAAAATATATCAATGCTTGAAGTTTACAAAGTGGGGGAAGAAACTATATTTATTCAAATCTTTTGCGAGTCCCAGAAACGGCACCAAACAGAACCAATTTCCCCCAAGGATATATGGGGAAGTGCCAAATTACTTTGTACTTCAGGCTTTAAAAATAACAGTATAGAACCTGCCTAAGAGGGAAAGTCATTAGGAGCTCACAGCTGCTACAAAGATCACGAGCTAAGTGACAGAGAAAAATTATCAAGAGAAATGCTGTACAAACAGCAGATGTAAGAGTTCAGCATTATGCAGACATTTCACAAAGGACTTGCATAGTGATTTTGATATCTTCCCCAGCATTTACATTTTAAAAGTGCAAAGTATACTAAAACCTTGAACATTTTATAGTTTTTATATCCACATGACACTCCCAAATAACAATTGCTTCTCTCTCTCTCCCCCCCGCCTCCATAGGGAGAAACACACTGCACTCAAGGAGATGAGCTGAGCAAAGACAAAGCGGAATCAGGCAAAGCTCTCAGCTGGCCCTAATAGAATTTTCATAGTTCCATTTCTGTCACAGAAATAAAAAAACACATTAAAGTGTGTGCTTCCCCTAATTCTACCTGTCAGCTCCACTAAGCAAGGGACTTCTGATTACACAATGGGCAGGATCAGTTCAGCCTAAGTCATAACTGGAAAAGCAGCATTACTTTCATGTTAGGTTGGTTTAATGTAATTTCATTTTACCTTTCTTTTTTTCTGCATGTAGAAATCATATAACATCACTGCTGTACCACTGTAGTTCACTCCTAAAAAATAAACGCCTGCTCCCGAAAAGCCTCACATCAAACTCTGCATCCCTGCATCACTACAAAATTCTTTTTAGACGTTATTAGCATTGAAACATTTATGCCAAATGCTGTAGAATTTAAGACAGATGAATCCAATAAGGTTCTGTGGAGAATACTCTAAAAAGTTATAGAATTTAATAGGGAATTACCTCCCTGCTAAGGAAATTTTCTCTGACAGTTTAAATACTACATAGTAAATGTATCACTTTCTATTAAATTCTATAGGACTTTTCCATAAGGGAATTGTTGGTGAGGTTAATCATTTTAATTAACCTTTTTATGTTGATGCTGACTGTTTTCTCAACTGTACATGTTCCCAGCTGGCCAATATAAAGTTAATAGAAGACGAAGATTAAGCTAAGACGGTGAAAAACACAGCAAGGGAAAAGAAGGTCTGACACTGTGAGAGCTGATCATCTGAAAATGGCTTTTCTTAACACATAACATTCTAAATGATTTTTAATACTCTGGAAAGCTGCTGTAATGGTGGATTCCTATGTCTGCATGCTGCAAAAGCACAGCAAAATGAGACTGTTCAAGAAAAGCTCCCTGTTGCCAGTGCACCTCAGCTCTCTTTGTCTTTCAAAAAATCAATGTAGAAAATAAAAGGCAAGTTTGACTTCAGCCCCCTTCTCTTCCCCCAGTCCAGGGCACAACCAACGCTTTGGGATGCTGAGGCTGTCCAGCGAGAAGGGGCCTGAGGACATCCCCCAGTTCTGTGTTGGCCACTGACAGCGTTTGGCTGTGCTGCACAGACAGATGGGGCTGGGAGCAGAGGGTGGTTATCCATGCTGTCTTACCTTCCTAGGTTCATCTCTCCAAATTCTAACAGCAAATTACTAAACCACAAGCTCACTCCACCAGACAGTAAGGCTTAAGTTAACATTCCTTTGTTATTAAAGTCAAGGTGGTTGTCTTTCATCAATGCACACAATGCTGCAAGAAGACAAGACTAGTTGCAGCCTGTTACCTACGTCTCTGTTCAGAGTATTATTTACCCTTTGGCAGAAGAGGACAGCCTAGTGTTAATAAAAATCACCCTGAAGAAAGTTCCAAAAAGTCACTATCCTAATTATGCCATTTTACCACATTTATGTATATTACGTATTTACTTTCCCAGCGTTTTCTATTGCTTATGTAATGAACACCCTGGGATTTGTAAATCTTACTGGCTAGCAAGTCCTTCATTTGCATTTAAAACATCACCATGATTATATTATTATTACAACTTAAGTTTGCAGGCAGGCCACCAGGTCAGGTCTGGTCCCAGGCTGCTCGTTGCAGCCTAAACAAACCCCTCTCCAGTTAGCACAAAACTGCCACTGGCACCTTAGATTAGCACAAGTATCACCACATCTCTAATTCATCCACAAATTTTTCAGCTCTAGAGCCTTTTCTTTGGCTTTCCTTAATCCCGCTTAGTCTCTTCCACTGATTTGAACAGCAGCTGGCTAGCACACTGCTGCTCTTCATGTTTAACTTTGCAGAACGCATTACTGGCCAAAGATGAATGGATACAGGCTGTTCCTCTGTCCTTTCAGCTTATCATTGACAACCCAAGAAACCAAAGTACATGGCTTCAATTGACTGTTAGTTACTGTAAAAAGTGTCCTAGTCTATGCTATTATGGCTAATTTACCTTTTAATTATATTGTCCATGCTAATGCTAATTGGAATTTGATACACCCAGGTTTAACGACCCATTTTCATTGCCTTTCTGAAACAAGTTACACATTAGTTTCTTCTAAACTTCAAAGAATTTCCATTTAAGTGTAAAATCAAACTGCTCCAGCATCTTGCTGGCAATATAAGGTTCTGAGCAAGAATCTTTGCTACAGTGACTGAGCAGGAACTTGGTCTTTTGATTTGGCCTTATGCAGTGCTGCTGTTGTTTCCCATTACTTCAGTCTGATGTCCTAGCAGGGGCTGAACCGTGAAAGCCTATGAATAGCAATAAGGGGGAATCATGAACAAAGAAAGGATCCTAATCTGAAGGACTAAATTAGAGAAGATCCATAGCTATGTTTTGATATTATTGTGATATTTTTCATCATGAAAGCAGCTAGTTCACTCATTCCTAAAATCAGTTTTGATCTATTATTTCAAATCCAAATTAGAGAATTCTGTGGTAGTGCTCTTGCTGTTTGTTTTATCACAGCAAACATGAAGACAGCATACCAACAGAGACAGCAGATAGTATTTGAAGATATCCCACAGGAATAGTGTAGATTTTTGCAATAATTTACCACCAGTATTAACTCTTTGATGGCACTCAAGAGAGAGGTGAGCTGGGGACAGCCTAGAAAGAAGGGGAAAACAAACAAACCAAAAGGACTCAACAGAGGAGTAACAGTGGAGGGATCATGGATAAATAGCTAAAAGCTCATGTAAATGAATGAGAGAGGAGAGGATGGTGGAGGACTGTTTGCATGCTGTATCTATCCTGCCCATCATTAGGCACGGAGGTGTCAGAGTCTGACCGAAACCTTGCACTGCCCGTGTGGGGCTGTGGCTCCTCTGGGCAGAGCTTCCAGGCAGAAATGTTGGGCATGGCTGTGGTACTACGGTTAGTAACAGAAAGCCCAGATATCTGAACTTCTTTTGTTGCTTCTCTTCAACTTTATCTCTTAATTCACTATGCCAATTTCTTAGGGTAAGTCAAGCAGTGAGAAAAGAATCAAGAATTCCAGGAAGACCCTCCTCCTGCAGCAATCCTTCCTCCTCCAGCTTCACAGTGCTGCTTCCCTTTGGTTCCAGCACAGCAGCGCACAGGCTGAGAATACCTCTAATTATGGTGGTTTTGGGCCAGGGTTATAAAAAATTTCCCAGTGCAGTAATGTCTGCTAGCAGCATGCTTTTGAAATGGCATCTTTCTACTGCCAAATTCCTTGGTGTAGATGCAGCTATAAGCATGTGTCTGGTGTAAGCTGTGTCTAATCTGTAAGGGATGCCAGTATAACTACACAGTGTTTTTAGTGTCTCAAGAACTGGGCAAAGTGCAGTGTTATCTGTCTTCAACGCAGCCCTTCGCTAGAGAATAATATTCTGAGGTCACCGGTTAAAAAGAGCTACTGACCCCTGCCCTGAGCAGCAGCAACCATGAGAATAACGTTAGCAAATCCCTGCCACATCACTGAGGATACAGATTTATGTTATTTTCTTACATTTCGGGACATTTAGAAGAAGGTGCCACTGGAGTATAAAGGTATTTTCAATTTATGTGATGAGGGAGCTAGACAGCCTGCCTCCAAGTTCAGCGAGCCTGTTCAGACTCCAAATTGGCAATGAATCATTACACTCGCATGGCCACGGGCAGGAGAGAGCTGCAGAGATTGCATTCACCCACTCTAATCGCTCCCACAGCAGCGCTGACCAACCCGCTCCGGAATTAGGGAGGAGGGAAATAAAATGGACTGATCTCAGAAATCCAAATACTGCAAAAATTCACAGTTAGCTGTGGGGATGGAGGGTGATTTCTTGGCTTAGTGTTCCTTTCTTAGAGCAAAAGGACAGGGGGAGGGAGTGAAAAGCTTTGCTGTGGGAGGAGGCACTTCTCACTCTTTTTGATACAGGAATTTGGAGGGCACATGCCCTATATAGTCAGGCTGACTATCAGGGGAATAGAAGATGATAAATGTGACATCAGTTTTTAAAATGAGATGCAGAAGTGATTTCAGGCCTTACAGCCCACTAAATCTGACTTCTCTGTGGGGCAAACCGCTAGATGCTCTAACAAATAGCAGAGCTAGTGAACGCCTCTAACACATTGTGGAGAGGTCCCTGAAGAAAGTCTATAGGTAAGAACAGTCTGGAAGAGAAGAGTGTATTTGAATTTCCAGAATATTTGTGACAAGGCCCCTCACAAAACACTACTTAAAAACCTGATCCATCTTGGTGCAAAAGGAAAACTCACCTTGTACACTAACAGGTTAGAGGTGGGACTCACCTGCCCGGGAATTGTCAGTGTTCAGATTTCACCAGTGAGACATTATGGGGACCTGATCTATTCAGAAATGGACTGCAGAAGGGACAAAGTGTGTTTATGGTACAAAATTATTCAGGATAATTAGAACAAAAGCTGTTTGTGAAGGGAAGCAGAACAATTTCACAACACTGAGTGGCTGAGTGATAAAATGGCAAATGAAATTCAATGCTGTTAAATGCAAAGTGATGTACTTGGGAAAAACAACCCTAACTATACATACACACTGACAGGTTCCCAGTTTGCTATTGCCATTCAGTGACGAGACCTTGGGGTCAGAGCTGATGGTTTTCTGGAGGTGTCAGCTGAGGGCTCAGTAGTTGTTAAAAAACAAATAGTATGTTAGGAAGTAGGAAAGTAATAGAAAACCAAACAGAAAACATCACTGTGCTCCCACAGAACTCTGCAGTAAACCCACTCATTAAATACTGTGCACAGTTTCAACCTTCCCATCTTTAAAAGGATATGGTAAAGGAAGAAAAAAAGGTACAAAGAAAGCAAGTCATCCTAAGTCTAGAATGGCTTCCTCAAACAAACCAATTAAACAGTTTAGACTTCTTTAGATTTGAAAGGTGATGATTAAGGGAGAATAGGAGGGAGGCAAACAAAATCATGTGAGGCACTTTAAGTGAAGGGGGATGTCCTTTGTAATGTGAAAACTAGGAGGCACCAGGAGATGCTATTAGGCATGAGTTAAAAGCAAAAGGAAGTCCATTCTTGTGGAGCAAATTGTAGAATTCAGTGCCATGGGATGCTTTGGAGACCAGAAGTCTAAAAGGGTTCAAGATATTTATGGAAGAAAGGTCTAGCAAAGACTATTAAACATAATCATACCACGGAAATCTTTGGCTAGACAAAGAGTAGATGTGATCTTTGGCTCAGGAAGCCTCTCTATCTCTGTTCAGTCTCGCCACCAAGCCCTGCCAGTGCTGCCCTGTAAAAATGTGGTACCTCACCCTGTGTATGCTGCAGCAAGAGGGTGCTGGAGCTGCCTGAGAGCAGGCCAAAAAACCTCCTTGAACTTTGTTCAGTACTAGGTTGAACAAGTCCAAGGTGGAATACAAAGAGTTACATCAGAGACCAGCACCGGCGATGCTTGTGGACTTTATTTAAAAAAAAAAAAAAAGCTATTTGTTGTTCAGTATTAAATTGGGCCTTATATTTCAAGTTTATATAAAAAATTGAAAATTCATAGGAATCAAAGGAAATCTTAACAATCTGTACAAAGAAGAAAGCCCAGCTATCACCAGACAATAAAGCTGGCTACTGGCACTATGATTACCCAAAGGGAGGAAGGATTCATTTTGGATGTACGTTCCAAGGAAAGATTTGTGAGTTCAAAGTCCTTTTTCCTCTGCACGTAAAATGTTTCCTAAGCACATTCACAAAATATTTAGCTGTAATTACAGCTCATTTTAAGAGGAGGAGGGAGCATTCACGCAATTTACTTTCAGAGGAATCTTCATGTAAAAAAACAACTCACTACAACCCACAGCATGCTGCCAAAAAGACAGGAAGATGCACCAAAAGCTAGTAACAAACAAATGGAGAATGTTTACCTTCTACATTGGGCAGAATATGTGCGTGCCTAACTTAGTCTTTCCTTCTACAGGTTCCACCATAAAACCTTCTGCCACAGAAACTTCTGAAGAGATTTTTTGATCCTTATTTAAAAAAATCCCATGTGCTAGCTATCTTATAGAAGATTTACTTATTCAATAGTATTGATCGCTTTTTTTTTCCAGTATCTCCTTGCCATCCTCTTCTCTCTTCCTTTTGGATGTAAAATGCAGATTTTTTATAAAAAGCCCATATGACTGCAGAACCTAATACCTCTTTTCAGAAGTTCCCCAGGCATGAAGGCAGGGTACGGCTGTGGTACTTTCCACCCAAGGCTAGCAACCCTGTGACACCGGATTTGCCGTTTCAGCTGGAATCCTACTGTTTCTCCACAAAACAGTAGCTAAGTCTTCACTCTGGCCAGCAGATAAGATTCCAGCACACACACCACAGCTGGATCTGACCAGATGCAAGAGGTTGCATCGCTGGTCACTTCCAATAGCTGCTGTATAAATGTAACCTCCAGCTCCTCTAGCCCTCAGCCACTTGCAAAACTGGGATTCTGATCTCTGAGTCAGTTTAGGCACTTGAGAAACATTTATACCTACAGGCTCTGTGAAAAATCCCCGTGAAAAATCACTCTTCTGTCCTATCGCTATGAACCATAAGGAAGAAAATCAGTCCTGTGAGGCATCAGCAGGGCAGAACGTAAGCAGTGAAAGGGAGCTGGAGAGTTTATCCCAGACAGCGATCATCTTGTTCCTATTCTCCTCCGCCTTACTCTAGGAGGAGATTTCTTTTACTCTTTAGGAAGCTGAGACCCCAGCGGAGGAGAAATGCTTCTGGAGTAGCTATACTGACTTCAAAGCAGATGCTCCAAATGTTAAGTCAGAACGGAGAACAGAATTGGGCACGTGCAGTGCAGTTGGCGGAGTCTAACTCCCCTTCAGAGGGGACCTCGTGCTCCCCAGAACAGGATTAATTGGCCAAAGTCGTCTCTCCCAACTGGCTGCCACGGCATGGCACTCGCAGCAGGGAGCTTCAGGAAGAAGGGAAAAAACAGGGCTATTAAAGCAGTGTTTTTCTTTGCTAAAACATGGGCGGAAGGTGTCCAACATTTGTTAATAGCAGTGATTTTGCAACAGCTGAAGCAAAGCCTGCTTAAAGCCAGACCAAGTTTACAGATGTGTTGCTGATTATTTTGAATAATTAAATGGTGTAAAACCCAGCTGTGATGAATAGCACTGGGGTCACAATTCATAAATAATTGAGAAGAGTGAGTCGCATTTGATCATACTGATCAAATTGTACTCTCTGGAGAATAAATGTTTGTCCTGAATACCATCAACATTGTTAAATGCCTCAATATTCCTGCTCAGCCATCCAGCCAGCAGTCAATTGAACTAAATCACTTTAACACCTTACACATTTGCCTTCCTCATGAATACAAAATGTTTCTAACTTACACAACGGTTTCTGGGCATCAGACAAAGCAGCCACTCTTTATAGACAGTAACCAAACAGCAACAATAAATGCTTTAAATGATCCCATTAAAAACAATTCCTGCGTACAGTCTTGTCTTTACTGCAGTAAGTGAAGAAGCTGCAGATATTAGGCCGCCTGTTTTGGTTCATTGCCTTGTTTGTAGGCAGAGCTGCCTCTCTGATTCCCAGGCAGCACACACACACCTCCTTTTCCTGGTGGGGAAGCCAGTACCACAGCTCCGTGCAGTTTCCTGGGGCTCCTCCTGCTTCTCAATACTTCCAAAAGCTGAGCCGTGACTGTGATTAGACTGAATGAAAGAAATGCCTAAAAACTAGCCAGAGAATACTGACTTGTGATTATTAGGGCCTGACTCTGCAGCCTGTCCTCATACTGTGTGATGTTTACCATGATGGCACAATATGGGTTTGGTAAGCCAGCGGTGGAAAACTGCTTTTCCTTCATTGGAATTACCTCCCATTTGTAGCAGATGTATAGGTCAGAATCTGTCTTAAACAGATGAAAAGATGCAAACCTTAAAATAGTCACATTAGGTAAATACTATCAACTAAATCCTGAAGCCCTTCTCGTATGTGACTTCTCAGTGTCACTAAGAGGAGCAAATTCTGGGCCAACAAGAGTAAAGTAAGCTGCAGATTATAAGAAGAGCCTGGAGTTAAAATCAACTGCTTGTATCTTCATGTTGTTCCTGGGGGACTGCAGGCAGCTTTTCCTCTTTAACAAAAATCCAGAGGGTTCCCCCCTAAAAGTACCGAATCTGTGGTGGTTAGAAAGTGTCAGTAAATGTCCCACATTGCTTATACCTGGTGGCAAATTGGTATTTCCCTACTTCTTCTGACACATTTGAGCATTGCATTTACCTGACATGACAGCATCACACAGATGTCGCACAGTCCCTAACCATTAATACACAATTAACTTTCGGAAAACAACATTTTATTGGTGGATCATTAAATTGTACCTCAAAGTCTTCCGAGAACCCATGCTGGTTATTAGAATACAGCTCACTGATGTGTTTAACGAACTGCTTGACTGGAATTGCTTCCATATCATCTGTAGAAAGAAAGAGATATTCAGAGTTGCTATTTGTCTCACACATAAAACCTCAGGAGAGAAACTCTTCACTCGATATCACTTAGATCTGAGTTCCCAGGGGCAGAGCTAGTTCAATATGCGATAATAAGAAATCTTGATGAAACTGGCCAATTTTGAAGTAAACTCTCATATTATATTTCTAATTCCAAGCACTGCAGTTATGAATACTGAGAGTTTTTTCCCCATGATGATAATTTACAAAGTCCAATTGCAGTTCACGGTTCCTTTAGTTCTTGTTTGCAGTTGGAAGATGGCTGTGGATGGGATGAAGAGGCTTCCTCTCCTTCTACATTGTATAAAAAGAACAGAAGAGACCCAAAACATGAAAGTAGAGTTGACACTTGACCCCAGTAAGTTTTTACCAGAATGAGCAGAGACACAGGCTTTTCTCCTGAAAGTTATTAACTTTTTCCTTTTTACACAACAATGCAGAATCCAAATGGACTTACCGTGAAACTGTCTCTGAGCAAAAGAACAGGCAACACAACACCACGCTAATTGGAGTTCTCTCTCATGCCAGACACTACTCATAACATTGAATATGTATTGCACTGGACCATTTGCTCTTGCTCAGCACAGTGCAAATTCCACCCAATATACCAATAAATCACCCACAGACATTTTCTTAAAAGAAAGAAGTCAAAGGCTAGAATTGAATTAAAGACAAACAAGACTGTTTCAAACACCTGGGACTCCGGACAGATCCTAATAAAGCTAGGGTGTAGGATGGCTGCCTTACTACTCTCTTTCTCTCTCGCAGAAAAGGCCTAGATGTTGTTATTACCACCACCACAGTTGCCAAGATTCATTAGTTAACATTTTCAGTCTGGCATTTAGAAAATGTAAATTGCGACATAACTGTGATTACTTTCAGCATGTGAAATAATCTATTGCCTGATGGCTACTATTGTCTGATTGCATGATTTTATGGCAATACTCTGGTATTTATATATTGCATTTAATATTCTTCTGAAGATCGCATCCAGTTTATGTTTACTCCCAGTGATTCAGTGGTGTATTTTTGCTCCCATTTAGCAGCCATATGGTTTGGTGCTACAGCTGCATTATAATCTGGATTCTTTTCCTTTTAAACATCTACATTACGATAGAAAAAATCCAAATATTTCTACAGATACTTAGCAAAATTTAACGATAAATAAATAGATGTGACATTTACTGTATTCAGAGTGAAAGATCTTTGGCAGCTAAAACCTCTAAGCTGTCACATATGCTTTTCTTAGCAAAGGGTATGAAGATCTGTATGTGTAAATGAGGTTCTACTTTGGCAAGAATTTTATAGATCCCTGACAATCTGATTTCTTTCCAGCTGATGGCAGTTAATATTGACCATGTCATTACTTCTCTACTCTTATTTTATCAGGTAACGCTCTAAGGTGGCTTTTTGCATCTATTGACATTTTCAGATTTCAATCAGCTCTCTTCTATTTTGTTTACAAGAGCCAATTGCTAAAGATACATTTGCAATCTGATCACCTCCCAGTACAGTAATGCTACTTTAATTAACCACATGCTCATTTACTGAATAATACAGAATTCAAAACATTTGACAAGTGTATGCTCATCTTAGCAAAAAGCTGCAGCATGCAGAAATGCTGTCACTTTAAAATATTTAAGTGATAACATTTATTCTGTGTAATATTGAGAACATCATCATCTCATAACAACATTTGTATTAATATTTTTGCAGCCAAGACATTCGAATGGAACAATCTATAGGAGCAGCAGTGAATAGCAAGAGCCTGTAAAACAATATTTTATCTCCTGAAAAGTAACCCATACATCCAAGATTTCCTTGAAAAGAACTTGTGCTATGATAGCAATTTCACATACTCTCACAAGAAAAGTTCCATAATTATCATTTGTTTTTTTTTTCTTGAGTAGTCTAGCTCAACTGAGACCAACCGAGATCAAGGATTCACTGCAGCAGACCAGCGTGTATAATTTAATTTTGCAGAAGGCAGAATTTAATTTTAATTGCGATCTGTGAGCCAAAAAATACATTAGAGATAACATGCTCTCCGGTCCATTGAATTCCCACCAATTTCAAGGATGGGTCTGCACCAGAGATCCATGGCAAAATATGGTTAGTTTTCTTTTTATCATTGTCACTGCATGGTGGCAGTATGTCTCCACCTTTATAGCCACTGCTAATTCACTTCTCTCTTGTTCACTATCATTTATTGTTTCTTCTCCCTTTTTCTTTTTCTGCATTTTCATTTCCGATTCCCTTCAGAAACCTTAATCCATTGTAGTTTCTTGCCCTATTTGATAACATGGGCAAAAATTAAACACTAAATGAATTAAATAGGAAATATTGTTCACACATGAGTTCGCTGGGTGAGAGGGAGCTTCTGCGGCTGAATCTGCCATGAACTCAGGAAGACCATGCTGGAGCAAAGGTAGTTGTTTCATAGTAGGAAGATTAAAATCAGAACCACAAACATTAGAAACTCAAAAAACACTTTCCAGCTGTCATGCTGCTGGGACAAAATAGTCCCACTGACCCTGCGAGAACCAGCAGCCACCAGGCAGAACCCAGGCAGAGGCCACCCCTTGAGGGACACACATGGCCCGGAGGGGACAGGCAACCCGCAGCTGGGCAGGACGTGGCTTCTCCCGGCTGCATGCCCGTCTTGCCCCCTGCTGATGGCCACAAGAAAGCAGCTGTACGTAAGATGCAGTCTATTACACGACCCAATGGAACAGAACAGTGTTAATTTGGGCCAGTGTTTTTCTATTCATGACCTCCAACTCCAAACTCCCACTCAGGAACACAAATTACTTTTGCTGGGGTATATGGATGCTTAGCCATGGGCAGCTTGTCAGATCTCTGGTAAAATATGTACTGATATACTCAGCACTCCTGAACGATATCTGCTCTGACATTAGCTGAAGATGGCTGTGACCTTCTCTAAGAAAACCAACAGATGTAGCTAGATGCACAGAATATGCTTTTCCTTGCACTATCGTCAGTCCGAAGGCTTTGGTTAAGCCTTCTTTCCATCTCAAGACAAATAGACTTCAATGGCTATAATTCTTTTAGTCGATTGAAGAGATTAATGGAATCCTATAATGGCTAATTAGGAGCTCTCATCGCCATTCTGCACATATTCCCTTTTGCACCATATACTTTTTCTCATCCAGACGCTTGCGTGACATTTGATATTGTCAGTGCGATGCTTACATTTTGCAAGACCTACACATTATTCAGAGAGAAGACAGAAATGTTTTAATAACATACCTTCACCTCTTACAGTACAGATATAATGACAGTTCTGTCTAGCTTGGGTTTTGCCATCTGTTTTATCAGTGCCAATAAAGTGATTCTGGATTTACATCACTACAAAATATGAGCTGAATCTGGCACCACACTAACATACTGACCCTTTGTGTTATGCAGAGAAAGAAGTAATCTCAGATGGAGAGGGGAAAAAGTCTCCAGAACTTTAAAATTATTGTATAGATATTTATTATTATAAATAATATAATA